TCGCGTGCAAATGCGTTTCTGAAAGGGCTGCAGCCTGTCTGTGGCAGGACGTGCGACGAATTCCACGGACAGCTCGTCGGCGGGAAAAAAGGCTGCGAGAGGAACGAAGAAACAGCCGAGAGGGGCTCGGGTTAGAGGGGATGAATGAATCGGCGGAAAAGGGGCGAAGAAAATATCGCCGGCTCGTACGGGAAACGCAGTGATTCGAGACACGTGAACGGAATGCTTGAAACCGTGTATTTGTATCCGGAGGAGTGTTTCCCTCTTCTCCGTGTTGACGCATTTTTACCTCCGACGAATTCTCTTCCTCGGAGTTTCTCGCGCGCGTATCAGTTATATCGATTAATCGCTCGAGAGGCGCGGGCTTCTTTCCGACTCGCGGATTTGATCGCGTACTTCCGCGGAATGAAAAGGCTGCGAGCGTAAGGGTGTATACGGAATTTTTTCGGATGGTCGGCGACGCGGAGGCTTTGAAATTTCGGGATTTTGATACTTTGGAATTTTTCCTTTTGGACTTTTTTTGGATTTGGAATTTTGAGGTTTTTGGATTATGGAAGTTTGAGGTTTTTGCACTTTCGAAGTTTATACTTTTGGGATAAATTTAGAATTTTAGACTTTGGAATTTTTGCACTTTGGAACTTTATATTCTTGGGGTTAATTTAGAATTTTAGATGGTGGAATTTTTGTACTTTCGAACTTTATACTTTTGGGATAAATTTAGAATTTTAGATTGTGGAATATTTGCACTCTCGAACTTTATATTCTCGGGATAAATTTAGAACTTTAGACTTTGAAATTTTTGCACTTTGGAACTTTATACTTTTGGGATAAATTTAGAATTTTAGAATTTGGAATTTTTGCACTTTCGAACTTTATACCTTTGGGATAAATTTAGAATTTTAGAGTTTGGAATTTTCGCACTTTGAAACTTTAAACTTTTGGGATAAATTTAAGATTTTAGATTGTGGAATTTTTGCACTTTCGACCTTTATGTTTTTAGGATAAATTTAGAATTTTAGATTGTGGAATTTTTGCACTTTCGAACTTTATATTTTTGGGATAAATTTAGAATTTTAGAATTTGGAATTTTTGCACTTTCGAACTTTATACTTTTGGGATAAATTTATAATAGAATTTTAGATTATGGAATTTTTGCACTTTGGAACTTTATATTTTTGGGATAAATTTAGAATTTTAGATTGTGGAATTTTTGCACTTTCGAACTTTATGTTTTTGGGATAAATTTAGAATTTTAGAGTTTGGAATTTTTGCACTTTCGAACTTTATATTTTTGGGATCAATATAGAATTTTAGACTTTGGAATTTTTAAAATTCAAAATGTTTATTTTAGAATTTTGAGAGATTTAGAATTTTTAGACTTGAACTTTTTGTGCCTTTGAGACTTTGCTTTGGGTCTCTCAGACTTCGGAACTTTGGGATTTTTATACGTTCAGAGTTGCTTTTAGAACTTCGAAATGAAACTTCAAAATTTTTTAACTTTAACACCTTGTGGTAACTTAGTAAAATAGTAAAAGCACAGAGTAACAAAATATCAGCTATGGCGACACATTCTGTAATTATAGAAAATCATCAATAATAAGTGTCGTCTTGTTTGCAATTAATATACATCCAATTTCAAGATAAAATAACTTAAAGTCTGCTTCGTACATTTATAATAACCCAACCAATAATACACAGTATCCTCATAAATTTAAAAGAAGCTTGATATTATAATATTTATATAAAAATATCCTCATATTTCTGCGGAAATAGAATCTCATTCTATTATTCATATCTTAATATCATTAAGATTCATATTCTAAAATTAATTCGAACGTAATAACTCTAAATAAATAAACATTCACTACTACTTTGACTACTCACCCAATCTCACATTTAAATTTCCATACGAATTAAATTATTAATCTGTTCGCAGACTTGAAGCTATAATATAAAAGCTTTTAAATATAAAATTTAAATATATTAAACATAAAAGTACTTGCACTAAGATTGGTCGAAAGCAAAAATACTCTTTAGTTAAAATTTCATCTACTTGCTTTCGTGTTAAAATATAAAACTTGTCATATAATAACAATGCAGTATAATATAATAAAGTACTAGCAACTACGAATATAACCCACCTTATGAGTATAACTTACTGCAAATGACTTACAATAAAACTTCGATTGAATTGTAAACACATTTCACAAAATTAAAATATTTTATTAAATTTGAAACCCTCGCTGTAAAAATACAGCGTTCGTGCATCTGTTTTAACTCTTGCCATATTAAACAGTCTTTCCTCCGAATTCTCGAGTAAATACGTTAGCGTGAAGTAAATGAAGAGAATCAATAGCAACAGAGAAGTACTAGCAACTACGAATATAACCCACCTGATGAGTATAACTTATTGCAAATGAGTTACAATAAAACTTCGATTGAATTGTAAACACATTTCACAAAATTAAAATATTTTATTAAATTTGAAACCCTCGCTGTAAAAATACAGCGTTCGTGCATCTGTTTTAACTCTTGCCATATTAAACAGTCTTTCCTCCGAATTGTAGAGTAAATACGTTAGCGTGAAGTAAATGAAGAGAAACAATAGCAAGAGTAACTATTTGCAAAACAGAAGGTACTATTATCTAATTTGAGTGAGGAACGGTCGTTTCGGAAGGGTTGAATTTAGTCGGATGCGTGGCGAGCAGAAGGGTAGCAGGAGTAAAATACTTCGTTAACGTTGATGAGAAGGGACGAGTGTTTCTTACGGCGGTAACGAACGATTATTCAAGGTTGTTCGAAAGTTGCCGGCGCTGCAGTAACTTCGAAGAAGCGAGTCTAAGCTGATCCCTGACAAGGATGCTTGCCTCGTCGTTGTTCATGAATTTATTGGCCGCGCGGTGTCTATAAAATCGAGCAGCTCATATTCCATGAAAATCAGCCGGTTTAATGCTCCGAGACCGGTGTACAAGAAGACGTCGTGCTCACTTAATAAGTTAAACCGAGTGCCTCGGAGATTAAGATGAATGAAATCGAGCCACGAGCAGGGGAGAAGATAACGCGGAATCGTAAAACGCAGCTGCAACTCTGTGATAAAGGCTGAAAGATCTGAGCTATATAGCTAGAAAGAAAGGGAAAGGTTAAGAAGGATTGGTGAGGGTAGAGATGATAAGATAGGGGCCTGGCGGAAAAGGAAGACCGAGAAACAGAGAAGCCAGGGAAGTAAATTAAAGGAAAGCTCGAGTTTTTCTTTTTTTCTTTTTAACGAAAAACCCGGGCTGAAAGATGGCAGCAAAATGAAAAATAAAATAACGACGGGATTTTAAAGATTTAAAATAATACTGCAGGGGGATAGTATCGGTAAACAAGCTGATTGCTACGGTAGAAATAACTGCGGTCGCTGTTCCTTACGGGGGTGGAAAGCGTGTAGGGTGTCTTAGGATGATCGGGTGATAGGCAACTTTCGAAGTCATAAATTCGCTGATATCAATTTTAATTTTCTATTTTTGCAATTATCGAACTTATAGTCTTTCGAACGACGGAATTTTGTTTCGTATTACTGATCATAAGAACTGTCTGTTTCTACGGTTCTACTCTTGGTGATACAACGAAAGACAACTATACTTCCCACTGTCTACTAATACATATTAGTACATACATATTAATGCATATGCGCTATTAGTATGATCGAAAGTATTTTGAAATAACTTTCAAACAAATTAGAGTATTTTGAAATAAAGAGGAGTGAATTCGATACATCGGTGTATCAAACCACAGAAGGAAGCTAAAGATTAAAGAGTGAGTGGAAACCCGTACATACATGTCAAAATGCGAGAGCAAAGAATGCACGAAGAAGCAAGAATTATGCAAGATAGAAAGCTGAAAGCTAGCAAATGATAATTTCAAGAGGGTGAAATTTTGCGACAAAGAAGAAAGAAATTTCAGACGACTGCGGGAGTAATGGCAGAAAATGTTATGGAATCGCAGGACGTAATTGCGGTTGGGGAAGATTCAGAAATATTAAAAGGGAAGGGTCGAGACGATAGATGGGAGGAAAGCGATGAGATTAACATTGTCATAAAATACTATCGACTTCGAAGTCGACCTAACTGAAGGTTGCATGACATAAGTCGTGAAAAGAACATCGAGTAGATAATACGGTTCTCCTATTATGTATTCACAGTCCTATCTTGCGACTTCAGTGGTTTATGTAAATAGATTTTACAAAGTTACCGCTTTGCGAGTTTCTTCGTTTTCGGATTTAACGCCTTTTCTATTTTGTTTGCTTTTATTCGGTTTGAAACTGAGACGAGTTTTGAGGAGTTTTCTGTTTGAAGTTTTTACGATTTATGCTTTGAATTTAGTGCCTTAGAAATTAGGCCATTTTGTAATTTGTCGGATTGCGAATTTTCTCTCTTTGAAATTCGACACCTTTCAGATTTTGTGACTTTTGATTTACTGCTTTGCAAATTTTGCCTCTTTCAAATTTACCACTCTTCAGATTTTCTCACTTTTGATTTAGTGTTTTGCAAATTTTGTCTCTTTCAAATTTACCACTTTTAAATTTTTTTTCATTTTCACATCGACCACTTTTCAAAGTTACTGACTTCCATATCGACTTTTCAAATTTTGTCATTTTCAAGCTAGCTGCTTTAAAAGTTTCGTCATTTTCAAATGTCCTGCTTTACAAATATTATCATTCTCGAATCTGCAATTAAGTTTTTTCATTTTTAACCCCTTAACTTGTGATTTTCTCAGCGAGTCAGACAGCAATTTAATTTAATTGGTATTGTAACATTAAGACAGACAAAGAATGTTCAAGTGTTAGAGACGTTTAAATTGAAATTAAATACGAAATTGAATCGTGGTGAAAAAGTGAGTCAGATTCATCGCACTTCAACAATTAAGAACTTCACAAATCACAAATGTCGTAATTTCAGAATTTTTAAAAATTAAAGACGAAGCTTCGATTATTGAACCTCTGTTTCCTTTTATTACAGATTCTTCAGCATCTGTACAAACAAAAAGCACTGATTTCTCGGAAACCCATCTTCAAAAGTGGAGGTAAGTTATATTTAACTTCCACAATACTCTTCAAGCGAAACCCAATAAATATAAGCGAAGCAACTGAACAATAAATACTAAAAAATATTTATTCTCGACGTTATTAAATCAGAAGCGAATCATATGAATAAATTTCCATCTCGTATCAACCATCGATCACTTACGAAACAATAAAACTAAAATACCAGAAATTGGAACGGTGCCTCCATAGAAATACGATTATTAAATCGACGGAACAATATCTGATAAAAATTTGTAAACCAGTTGAATTTCCATAAGAAGCTTACAGTCTTTTTTTCTCGCAAAAAGAGAAACAGAAATGGCCGACAATATTATAATAAATTCACCGTTTCGTTTGAGGGCTTAAAAGAATTAAAACCTTGAACGATATGAACGAAGGAAAAATGATAATTAAATTGCTCCAATGTTCTCGTTTCCTGTAATACCCTCTGTACAATCATTCCTGCCAGAATGTTAGACCAATTCAATTATTTAATCACGGTGCTCGAAATGAAAATCGTGTGCATATGCGTTAGTACATTCGTAGGAAGATTAAAATCCAAGTAAATTACAGCGTTGAACTTCATTAAACATTGCAGTGTATGTACCCTGCTTTCTGTCCTGCCTTTGTTCACCCACAATTATTTCATATTTCATTAAATATTTCTATTTTACTTTCAATTAACCGAAGCCGAAGAGACCTTAGAGAGAATTTTATTAAAATTTAATTTTATGCGGTGCGTTAAATATTTTAACAAGGTGTCAATGCTTTGAAATTAGGAAATATTATAGGCTGCAATCATGTTATTAAACATTTATTATTTATTGCATTTATGGCTGGTAGCGCTGGGTTTATGGGACGCACCATTTTGACGCACTTCGAATATTTTTAAAAAAATTATCAAATAACCGAATAAAAAATAGGAAACTTTAAGGGTAATAAAATGTATGATGTTAAAAATTAAAGCGTAAGTACTTTGTCTTACAACCCCTTATTAAGGCTGATAACACATTTTTAATAGTTTAAAAGATTCTCTTCTCTTCATATTTTCAAGGTGTCGTACTACAGTATTGAGCGTAATAAATAATTTAATATGTAGTGAATTGATTAAATTTATAATGTATTTCCATTAATCTCACTGCACTTTTATTTCAATAAAAATTGAGCTTAAATATTATCATTAAATGTAATGAAATATGTCTACTTCTTCTTGGATACAAAACTGTATATACTGTAAATGAATTTGCTTAATCATCATCGATTACTCGATTGATTTTTGTTAACCATATAATCCAACACGTACATCAAGTCTCTAAAACTCGAAACGTCAAAGTGAAAGTAAAAATAGAAAGTCAGAATGAATTGATGAAGAAGGTTCATTTTTTGAAACCTGATAAAAGAAGGTTTTCGTAAAATTTTGGGGTAATTTTTTTGTGGCGATCAATTTGATGTTATTTGTTCGGATAATCTCGAAAGCATCGATTTGTTTGGCAGAGGGGGTATCGGTTATCTCGGTTGAACGTCGAAAAATAAATTTCTCCGGTGGCGCACGGTTCGCCGATAATCAGATTAATTAGCTGAGAAACAGTTTTGCGCGTTTGTCCGACGACGCTAATCGAATCGACCGGAGGGATCGATAGTCGGTCACCGGAAACCGACGTTGTCCGCGCTCCATCGGCTCTCCTCCGATATCCGCTCGAAATTATTGTCCGCCACGCGTTTGTCCCTTCGCGTACCCCGAATCCGAATTATTTCGACAATTTCGTAAATTATACGCGACAAATAACGTGTTCTTTACCTGCCTGCCGCTTTGTTAACGTTGCTCCGATGTTTTATGCAAAAATTAACTCGTATCGCCTGATGCTCTCGTTAATTGAATCCAAATGTGCCCGAATAAATTTCGATCGCTTTATTTGCGCGTTACTTATTCGATAGCCAATTTACCTGCACCGTGATCGATTATATTTCGAATTTAGAACATTTACGAATTCCGAAGTTTTTCAATTTTTGAACTTGTTCAATTTTTAACAATAAATTAAACTTACAGAACACACAAATTTGTGTGAGGTTTTTACAACGTAATGGCACAAAGTAAACCAGAGATGGCACGCTCTGTCGGTGTCTCTCTTTCATATTAACTACGTGAGCAAGTAGGCAAGAGTTTATGTAAACAGAAACAGAGATATTCATCATACGTTTGTACACTGTGCCGACGAAATTCCAGTTCATTATAATTTAGTATTATTAGTTAGAACTCCTTAACAAATCATTTAAGAGCAAATGTTCATTTTTTTCTTTTGCGTGCAGAACACACTGGCAAAGTTTGGCTGGAAAAAACTGGGACACTCTGTACATTGAGTAACACAAATTAAATATCGAAATTATATCTGTTAAGTATTAAATATTATACAATAAGAAGTCTTCAATTCCCCATAATTTATTTGTTAGGCAATTGGATAACTTGCAAGCTTCAACTTTTGGAAATCCGGAGATTCGAACATTTGCTAACCGGGATATTTTTAGGTACTGCACAAGATTTATAAATCTTGAAATTTCAGAATGTACAAAGACAACTCAGATTCGGAAATGCACCATAATATACAGTGATTGAAACTGTTTACCATTAAGTATCCAAATTTAGTGTGAAACAGCTTGAAAGAATGAAACAACCTAATTTAAAAATTGAAATAAAGTGTAACATACACTACCGTCCATAAGTATCCGGACACAAGCGAAATATGCGTTCGCATGAAAGTTATTCAAGTATCTGCAACAGTAACTAAAATCGATTTCTTTTTCTGCGAAGGTCAGAATACTGGAACGTTTTTCGATTGATAATTCTCGTTTGGAACTCGTATCTCGATGGAAAAGAAGCTACAGACGAACTAAACCGAAACTGCCGAGTGCGTAGCGTTACCTCCATTCTTATCTCCATTGAGGGAACCTAAACATCTACCAACAGTTTACAAACACTTGAAACATATCGAAGAACCCTCTGAATACGTTCTGCACCATAGAAATGAAACACAGTAGAAAT